TTTTTTTTTTTTACCTTAAACCGCATAAACACATTTCATTACACCAAATACACAAAATAATGTTCTTTTTAGCAACATGACCCCTTTAAATCTGTATTTAACCTCAAAGATCTCCAAGTAAAAAGAAGTGCTAAAGTCTGATTTTGTGGTGGCTGTGCTTTAAAATGAAATTATTATAAATCTCAATTCAAGTGAAGAAGGATTTTGAAAGTCTGACAGTAATCAGTGTTGAGTACTACTGTAAGGTTAACCCTGCCTGCTTTTATATATACTTTTATATATTAATTGAGGGACTCTACAAGCTTATGTCCCAAAAACCTCACTATATATTTATAAATATGAGAGATGTCATTTGATATCAGGTATTTTAAATAAGTGTTTTGTTCTCTGTTGATATTAAAATGTATTTTAGAAACTTAAATTTCTTTTAAGGTCTGAAAAGTAGCCAAAAACCTAAGAATATATTCACAAATTATAAATGTTTTCAGTCTATTATGAGGTTAAAAATGTGTCTGTGGTTTAATTAATGTACAACCACTAATATTAATTTCTTCAATGCATTTAATTCACAAACACTGTATAATTAACAATACAGAATATAATGACCAAAGTGTATGAAAACAGTATCAGAGCAAAGGTTTAAAGCTGCACACTGCCACTCTCTGGTCACCGCTGACATCACTTGGTGGATGGAAAAAATCTTCCATTACCAATAACTGGATATTACCTTTAATCTGTGAAGACACAATTATATAACATGAAAAAGTGAGAGAGGCAATTATATATATTTTATAATTATATATATTTTAATGTAAAACATTAATATAATATCCAGAAGATAATATCCAGTCCCCAGCTAAATAAAATGTTGTAGTTTTAACCTGATCTTGTCATGTTCAGTGCCTGCTTCATCATATGTTGACTCAGGAATGCTTTCTTGTGTCTCTCTCAACAGCCGACTCAAGAACATGGGCTCAGGACTGCTTCTTTTCCCATACCTGAGAGAGGTTAGGACAATCAGAGCAACAAAAGCATCAGAGGAAATAAAAAGGCTGCACAAAATTAACTTATTCCCAACATATTCCCTAAAATAAGAGAAAGTATTATTTAAATAATGCACATATGATTAGTGTAAAAAAAAAGAAATGAAGACCTATTTCTTTGTAAACTTAATTTCAAATTGTTTGCTAAATACTTTGGGACTAGCTATTGTCCTGCTTGCTGTATTTTATTGATTAATTTACACTTGTTTTTTTTTATCTTACCTTTGTCGTGTGATGAGCTTGATATAGTGTCGTAGTGCAGTATAGTATTTGGCCATGTCCTCTGCAGGGATGGCTGTGTCTGGTGTGTATGGATATGCATCTGTGATTGTCACAATCCACATCACAGCAATGACCATAAACACCAGCTGATGAGAGTGCATCTAGAAAATAAATGAATGAATGAATGAATGAATAAATGCTGCCAAAAATGTAAAAGCAGCCTAGTTTTGAACAATTACTTAATTTTAATTCAAGACAAGAGCTTGTTGTTGTTTTTATAAAATAGATTTATATTAATTATTAATACTGTGTATACTAAAATATTAGACAAAAATTGTAATTAATTCAATATTTTCATTATTAATTACATTTGTATTACTTTTTTCTATTTTTGCTCCTTCATAAATGTATATACTATCTATCTATCTATATCCCAGCATGTTTGTTCACTTATTTACCTACTGCAAAATATGGTATTGAAATTTTTAATAGTGTAGAATAAAATTTGACCTTAGATAATATAAAGAATTACTTAAGGGTTTTGAACTAGGTGTTTAAAACCAATATAGCTTACAAAATCACTGCTAACTAGACTTGGTTGAAACCACAGCTAGCCCTTGCTCACAACTGTGTATCTTACTTAGTTTTGAGTGGTTTAACTTGCATATTAAAACTGACGACCAACATAACAAAAAGGTTGTTTTACTTACCTTCCTCCGATGACAGACTCTTGTCTTCTTGTGAGGGTTGACCGACAGCGCAGTTCTCTGGGATCTCAGATGTTCTGCCGGACTGAAGGAGATTGCTCGTAATTTATAGCAGATGTGGAGCATGTCTCTTTAAGTGCAGCGCTTAACACAAGAAGGCGTCATCATTGTTATACAAGGTCTAAGAGATGTATACTCTATGCAAACTATACGACAACTTTACGAGGAAAAAAATAATTCTCAAACGTCCTGAATGCAGCAAATATGTAGGCTATATTCAGACTCACCTGATGCTGTAATCGCTGCCGAAGCTGCTAAATTAAATGAACATGTCACCTAAACATTAAAGTTCTGTCATCATTTACTCACCCTCATAATGTTACAAACCTGTTATGCATTTCCTGTTATGCATGAAGAATGCTAGTAAAGAAAAACTCAAAACAAAATATTTCTCAAAATATCTTCTATATGCTTCTCAGAACATGTTTCAGTTATACGAGTTTGGAACAACATGAGAGTAAATGACAATTTTTTTATTTATTCCTTTAAAGGGATAGTTCACCCAAAAATTAAAATTCTGTCATTTACTCACCCTCATGTCGTTCCAAACCTGTATGAGTTGCTTTCTTATGTTGAACACAGAAGATATTTTGAAGATTGCTGGTAATCAAAGTTTGTGGTTGCCATTGACTTCTATAGTAGGGAAAAAAAAATACTATGGAAGTCAATGGCAACCACCAACTGTTTGATTACCAGCGATCTTCAAAATATCTTCTTTTACGTTCAACATAAGAAAGCAACTCGTACAGGTTTGGAACGACATGAGGGTGAGTAAATGATGACAGAATTTTCATTTTTGGGTGAACTATCCCTTTAAGGGTCTGAGTAATTTTAAGCATTTTGGCATAACTTGGCAAAATGTGAAAAAATGCAGGGGTCTGACTCTTGAATACTTGCTGAATTCACTGTATGTCACAATTCTATTTTAGGAAGAAACTGTAAAAGCCTTATATTATATAGTGCTATATTCTAGTAAATGACCTTGGGTCATCCAGTCAAATAACAGCAATGTGGAATGACTCTGTGGTTTCCAATAAGTGAAAACCACCGTTACATAACTTTGAACATCTCAGCCTGATTAGCTTCTTCCCAAGTGGCATAAATTGTACCTTTCATCAATGCTGGGACTGTTGTGTTCAACAAAAAAAAAGTGGCTAGTGGAGTACCACAACACTGGAAAAACCAGGTGACCTTTTCAAGGTCAATAATCACAGAGATTGCATGTGAATGGTAAGTGTGCCCAAAATACTAATGAAAATGTGTTATTTTCTCACCAATTTGTTGATGACACCGGAAATTATTATACACTCATATGATTTCTGTGAATATTCACTAGCATGCCAAACTGTTCGCCCTTTCAGCATTTTTCTGCACTCCATTTTTGAGTCACGTTTTGATGAAGAAGAAAAAAAGAACAGAAAGACAGAAGATAACATGGAGACAATTTTCGAATGGGGCAATTTCAAAGTAAGGTCTTGTCAATGACTGAGATTACAGCTGACAGCCTTTCACATTACGTGGATCTGGGCTGGAACAGGATAAAAAATGACAAAAGGGTAAAACCAAGCATCTTACAAACAGAAAATGCACATCATCTTTTCTGATGCACATACTGTATTGACCAAGATTTCCACTTAATTCTGCCTTTATAAACTTATTTTTATTTATTCCAGGAACATGAAACAAGGTTTGAGGAATGAACAAACACCTCTGTGTGTTTTTTTCTTAGAAGAAAATAATAAATAAAAAGGGCAAAGAATGCAAACATGAACATAATTCACTTTTACAAATCAACTGAGATGAAGTAGTCTTCCTTTAGGGCCTCAGAAGCAGACAGTCTTGTAGATGAAATCAGCAGCTTTGAGACGAGCTCGTGCAATTTGGCATCCTGTCAGCGAGAAATGTTTGAATCATTTTGGAGTAATAATTTTAAAATACTATTTATCAGCTCTTATATTCTACCTACCAGACACAAACCAGAGAACTCTACATTTTGACGCTCACTCTCTAGAGTTCCGCTGAAGTCTGGAACATGCAGCTGTGAACAAACAAGACTCCTTTACTGTCAGAAAAAATTAATGTTGTTTTTAAAGTTTCTTTTTTAGAATCACACATTTATATACAATGTATACTTCTACTATATTTTACACACTAGAAATTTGAATTCATTTTTGTTTTCATAAATTATAATTTTATAAAAATATAAAAAGGACAATAAATAAGAACATAACAGCTCAAAAGTTTTGAATAATATAGAGTTTGTAATGTTTCCGAAATAAATCTGTTATGCTCACCAAGGCTGCATTTATTTGATCCAAAATGATTAAAATAATTGTGAAATATTATTACAATTTAAAAGAAATGCTTCCTATTTGAATATTCAAGTTTATTTGTATAGCGCTTTTCACGATACAAATATATTTTAAAATGTAATTTATTCCTGTACTGGAAAAGCTGGATTTTTATTACTCCAGTCTTAATCAAAAGTGACAGTAAAGAAGACATTTAGAATGTTTCAAAAGATTTCTATTTCAAATATAGGCTGTTCTTTTGACCTTTCTATTCATCCGTCTATTCAAGAATCCTGAAATAAATGTTTCACGGTATCCACAAAAATATTAAACGGCAGTAACAGCAAATCAAAATATGTGACCCTGGAGCACAAAACCAGTCTTAAGTCACTGGTGTATATTTGTAGCAATAGCCAAAAATACATTGTATGGGTCAAAATAATTGATTTTTCTTTTGTGCCAAAAATCATTAGGATATTAAGTAAAGATCATGTTCCATGAAGATATTTTGTAAATTTCCTACTGTAAATATATCAAAACTTCATTTTTGATTAGTAATATGCATTGCTAAGAACTAAATGTGGACAATTTTAAAGGCGATTTTCTCAATATTTTGATTTTTTTTTGCACCCTCAGATTCCAGATTTTCAAATAGTTGTATCTCAGCCAAATGTTATCCTATCCTAACAAACCATACAATGGAAAGCATATTTATTCAACTTTCAGATGGTGTATAAATCTCAATTTTGAAAAATTGACCCTTATGACTGGTTTTGTGGTCCAGGGTCACATATTAGAACGATTTCTGAAGAATCATGTGACACTGAAGACTGGAGAAATGGCTGCTGAAAATTCAGTTGTCAACACAGGAATAAAGTAATTTTTTTAATATATTCAAATAGAAAACAGTTTGTTTAAATTGCAATAATATTTCACAGTATTACTTTTTTACTTTATTTTTGATAAAAAAGACTTCTTTAGAAAATGATTATTCCAGACTTTTAAATGATAGTGCAAGCAAGCAAATAAGTAAGTAACAGTTCTACCCAGAGCACGATGCCTCCAAAGGCATACATATCACTGGCTGGGGAAGGCAGCTGACCCTGCTTCAACTCTGGAGCCACCAGACTGATGGAACCAGCCACCATCCCGCTGTCAGACACCCTCTGCTCCTATAAAAACAAATAATCATATAAACAATCATTTCTAAGATTTAATAATCAAGACCAGGTCTGCTTCCATTTAGTTAATTTTCCCCAAAAAGTACATGAATCCATAACGTCACTGAATTTGCTGGGGGGGTGGGTTCACTTACAGGTGTCTTTGAGAAATCATAATCTCCAACAATGCCTTTCTCTCGGCCGATGGCAAACACATTGTTGGGATGCAGAGATGCATGAGTAAGAGATGCTGCATGAAGACCCTGCAGTCCCAAAGCTACGCCCTTCATCACCTTCCTAATCTCCTACATTGCAATAACAAAAAAGGACAAAAAAATAAAAAGTTTGCAAATTGTATGAGTAAGCACCAAAATTCTGGCTGTTATGGCCATTAATGCTTGGTTTTAAAATAGTAAATTAAAAGTAAATTTAAAAAAAAAAATTTTTTTTAGGACTTTATATTAATCTGACAAACTTTACCACTTGTCTACAGTGTCGACAAATACATTTGGAATTGATGCACTTACAGAAGAGGACAGTGGAGAGGATTTCTGAATGGCCCTGAGACTTCCATTCGAGTAGTGTGGTACCATGATGTATGCCAGTGGATCAGACTGGACAAAACAGAAATAATTTTACACATGCGCTGATACAGAGCTGTAACATCACTGAAATTTGTAGGTCCACTCTGCTTTATGAAGTCAGAAACTAGTATAGTAAAAGATGACAGAGAACTTTGCCGCAAAACAGCGCCAGGAGAGGAACAGTAGTGGCGGGATTCTGCTGCTGAGCTCTGTGATACTGGGCGGCTTGTTCAAGCATCTTCGCCTCTGACTCTTCATCCACAGCATAGCACTGCAAACAACCCTCAACTCTTTTACAAACATTCAGCAATGGACAGCAACAATATCTATAGATATTCCATATCTAACAATATATCCTGGAAAAAATGTATCACGGTTTCCACACAATATTAAGCAGCAGTTTTCAACATTAACAATACTACCAATAATAATAATAAAGCACCCAACAACAAAAAAAAGATAGTGGAGTACTAAATTAGCCTATGCAATGCTTTCTGAAGGATCATGTGACACTGAAGCCTGGAGTAATGGCTGCTGAAAATTCAGCTTTGCCATCAAAGGAATAAAGTACATTTTAAAATACATTAAGATGCAGTTACATACATTAAGAATACAGTTATTTTAAACTGCAATAAAAATTTTACAATATTAGTGCATTTTTGTCAAATAAATGCAGCCTTTGTAAGCTTAAGAAACATCTTACAAAAAACATTTAAAAGATTTTACCAACCCTAAACGGTTGAACGGTCATGTATATATTTTATATTCAATTTCTTTCTTTTTTGGGGGGGGGGTTACTTAATATTGTTTTAAAATTTGGAATATAAAAATAAATAATGAGTATATGTGTTTCGCACTTGGCTTGTAGTGTACATATATTCTCACTGTACTTTGACCAAAGCAAAGCAAATGAACATTCTGGGCTATAACCAACCTTCAGGACTATTTTCTGTCCCTGGAAATCTGTGCTTAGAAGAGGTCTCCTCCCACTTAGCTCTCTCATCGGGTCTGCATCAAACATGTCTCTGTCCAAGCTCTTCATTAACAGTCCTGCAGAGCTCTGAAAGCACACATTTGCAGAAAAAGAATAACTATCACTCTGTTCCAATGCTCACAGACCTTAAACATACATCTTCCATCCTCTGTAGTCAGCGAATATTCCCAAAAAGAAAAGTTTACAGTACACTTAAGCTCATACTGTACAATCCCAGTCATTTGTTATAGTTCTTTTACATAAAATCGTGCTAAATGAATAAATACATTCATTCAAATACATTGAACAAGGCTTTGGTATTGGTATTGACAAAACAAGTACTCACCATATAGCCATTAATATCTGCATCAGGATAGATAATTGGCAACTCAGGAAAGCCTCTTTTCATGAGGTCACACAGCATTATCTGTATATCAACACATAATGGAGATTTCAGGTATTAACTGCTGAAAAGTTAAGTAATTTAATTAATGTACCATCATTTTTTAATTACACATTTTTATTTAACATAATTCAGCACTGACATTTCTATCCCATTGCAAACCACTGTTCTAAGGTATAAACACAATATTATAGTTCTTTGGGTGGACTACAAATCTAATACAACAACAAAGTATGACATCCTGCATACATAAATAATGTATTGTATTGCCATTCTTAACTGTGTCTGTGCTACAATCTAAGCCCAGTATCTAAGAATATGAAAGATCTTTAAACACATACATATTGCTTCTTTTCATGGCTGATTTCTTGAAAGAGAGCATTTCTCGTCTCAGCGATCTCCTCCTTCTTCTTAAGAATCTCTGGCAGGTCCAGTTCTTCTGCCTTCAGGAAACTCAAACTGATAAACTGACCATTTCCAGTGAACGCAACCAGCTCTCCCAGTTACTTAACAGGCAAAGTTAATCAATGAACAGATATGCATAAATAGTGCTGCATACGATAAAAAAATTAAAAAAATAAAAAATAAATAAATAAAAAAAAACTAAATCAAACCAATAAATCAATACTGAGACCCCAGCCATCTGAGCTCCCAGCACTGTGGACATTTTGTGAACGGTAGCCCCATCGTGTGGATTTTCAGAGCACATTAGGTAGGGCTGTTCTCACCTCCTCCAGACAGCTGACTTCCACCAGTTTCCAGCGCAGCTGAGATCTCAAGCTCCTGATGCGCTTCTTCACCGCAAACAGATCTTCTGCTTTAGGAGGGCCACTCTGCCACTGCTGTATTTCCTGCTTAAACTGCAGTTAAATATTATGGCTGTTACAACTAACAAATAAAAGTGATAATGAAAATAATCATGCACTGTAAGACTTTTTTTTTTCAGTATGTATGCATAAATTGGTCAAAAGTGACAGTACACCTATTTATAATGTTACAAAAGATTTCAAATAAATGCTGTTCTTTTGAACTTTCTAATTATCAAAATATAAAGAGAAAAAACATTACATTGTCCACAAAAAAAATATTAAGCAGCATATCTGTTTTCAGCATTAATAATAATAGAAAATGTTACTCGAATACCAAAATCAACATATGTGACCCTGGACCACATAACCAGTCTTAAGTGTAAATTTTTCGAAACGGAGATGTATATATCATCTGAAAGCTGAATAAATAAGCTTTCCATTGATGTATGGTTGTTAGGATTGGATAATATTTGGCCGAGATACAACTATTTGAAAATCTGGAATCTGAGGGTGCAAAAACATCAAAATATTGAGAAAATCGCCTTTAAAATTGTCCAAATGAAGTTCTTATCAATGCATATTACTAATCAAAAATGAAGTTTTGATATATTTACGGTAGGAAATTTACAAAATATCTTCATGGAACATGATCTTTACTTAATATCCTAATGATTTTTGGCATAAAAGAAAAATCTATCATTTTGACCCATACAATGTATTTTTGGCTATTGCTATAAATATACTCCAGCGACTTATGACTGGTTTTGTGGTCCAGGGTCACATATTAGAATAATTTCTGAAGGATCATGTGACAAGAATAAGTTACATTTTAAAATATATTAAAATAGTAAAGTTATTTTAAATCATAGTAATATTTACAATGTTACTGACTTACTGTACTTTTCATCAAATAAATGTAGCCTGAGCATGAGACTTCTCAAAAACATAAACTTTAAAAAAAATAACTCTTACTGGCCCGACCGAAACATTTGAATGGTAGTGTATATATTTTTATGAATCTCCATAGAATCAGCTTTTTTTAAAATGAATTCAAAGAGAGAATCTCTTTTACCTTTGTGTTGAGTTCGTACTTTTGCCTGATCGCTTTTAACAAACATTGTTCTCTCTGGATGCCCTGCATGGCTTTATTAAAGGCATTAAACACCATTTTCCTCTCTTGATCATCTTGTTCCTATAACAACAGTGAGAAACAAATTTTCCATTCAGTAACTGTGAGCTTTGTTTTTCCCAAACATCTGAAATTGCACAGAATAAAGTCCCTCTGGGGAAGACCTGGGGGTTTGTGCCGTTGCTAAGAATAGAGGGAATGCACACTGAAATGCAGACATAGTGTAGAAAAATGTGTAGATCAGGACAGAAACACTTACAGAGGATTTAGTACGGAGTTCTTCACACAAGGCATTGTCAGCATTCATCAGGATCTCATCCACACCTTCAGCAACATCTTCTTCGGTCAATGACGTTTTCTCCATCAAACACGAAAACTGAAACAAAGGCTTCATCTTATAGAGCAGTAAATAAAGTACCTTGATACTATAAACCATGTCTGTTCATTTAACTTAAAAGATATCAGTAAAAGGAGACATGAATTTGATGAGGTTTACATTAGCAAACGCACCTTGCTAAGCCTGGTTGCCCAGCTGCTAAGAGCAAGGAGAGCTTCATCTGTAGCTTTTCGCACATTTTTGATCTTCTGTTGTTTGTGCCCCTTCCACTCACAGAACTTCTCAAAAGAGCACTCTTCGGTCTGCTCCACCAGCATAACAGAGCTAAACATTGCCGTCAATGAGGATGCAACTTCCTGTATATGCAGACGACACAGTTCAAAATGCAGTAATGAAAAGCTGGCAGGGGAATCTTCACATTCTATGTATTTGCTGTTTCAATTTATGGGCTTTTCACACATTTATTAGGTAGAAAACAAGAAACCGAGCACAGCCTCTGACAGGCTGATTCAAGAAATATATCTGATACTTTACAGAGGCCTAATCTGACTAAATTCAATACAAAACAATCTCTGTGAGAAATTTGGAAAGTGATGTATTTGTATCAGTGTTGTTAATACGTTTTTTTTCTTTAAACTGAAATAAAATATAAAAATATTAGAAAACGTAAACTTATCTTAAACTGAAATAAAATGGGTAAAAAAATATATAAATGTCAAAATAACCTAAAATTACTAAAACAAACTGAAAATTGTTTGTGGCTGAAAATATAAAATCAAACACTATAACAGAATACTAAAATAATACTCATTTGTATATACTCATACCTTCAGCCTGTCCAAGCGTTCATTAATTGGCAGCTTGTCCACCTCCTGCAGGAAGTCATCTACAGCAGCTAAGAGAGCACCTCGAGCCTCATTCCTAATGTTCACCAGTGACTCTACTTCCGCCATCTGACAGAACACACACAAGCAATCTTAGAAGCAATGCCACAGTCAACAGAAGACAACAGGGAATGTAAAACTGTAATACAGTTGAGAGGCTTCTAACAAGAACAGTTCTTTCATACACTGGTTATTACCACAGTCTTTTTTAAAGAAAAAGTTTTTATTTTTGAGCCACAGAGATGACATTCATCTACATGCAAACTCATTTCATTCATTCATTGATCAGAAGAATGTATATTTTACTCACGGTTTGACAGCCTCTTAGATTTTCCAAGGTTTGATCATAAGCTTTCCCCGCAAGGTCCAGCCTCTCTGAGCTCAACGGCATTGGGATCCTGTAGTTCATGATGATGGTGATGGACTCTAATAGGTGATCTTCATCAGTGGAGCAAGGATTACTCTCCCTGAGGTTCAAACCAATAATTTTAAGTCAGAAACATTGTCTAAATCAAGTCAGAAGTAGAAGCAAGTATACATTAAACCACTGAAACTGGAAAAAAAAAAAGAAGAGTTTGGGAAGAAGAAAAATTATTTTGCCTTAGTTTCCTCAAAGAATCCACTTTCTTAGCCAGCTGGGATATTCTGTTTGCAACTGTTGTAGGATGATTATGTTTAGTCTCCTTTGTCTTATCATAACTCTCCTTCAGTATCTGCAAAGAACAACTCTTTATACACATATTGCATTGTGGAACAAAGCTACAATCTGTCAATGTGTGAGACTTCTGATGCGTTATGCTCTATAGGTAACGTAAAAGTAAAACTATTTGCACTACAAACCAGTGCGTTTATGGTTACGATAATACAATAATACGATAAGAAATACCAATTTGCAATATCAAGCAGCATAACAAGCCGTTTTGTACAGCAGAAAAAAAAGGAAACGGATGACACTGGAAGCCAGGCACATTCAAGATGGGTGCGCATTCTCGTAAGTTCATAAAATGAGGTGGATGTATCTAATCTGCGTCATGGCCTAAAACACACTGAACAATCAACACGTGTGTGAAACAGCTCACGGGCACCTGCAGCTCTAATTTGGCCTCTTCTAGCTGCTGCCCCAGGAGAGATGCATGCTGCTGAATGGCACTTCCTTCCTCTTTTAGCTTCTTGATCTCCATGTCCTTATCATTTATCACCTCTCTCATCCTCTGGGTACACAAAACAGCACAGCGGTCACAGACTATCTCAGGCATGTTCTCACATGTTACAAGGGTTTTCACTTGTAGGAGGTTCATGATACAATCAAGTGTGATTTCTTACATGCATGAAACTTAAAGGGGTCATATGATGCTGCTAAAAATATTTTTTAAAGACATTATTTTGTGTATTTGGTGTAATGAAATGTGTTTATGCAGTTTAAGGTTCAAAAAACACATTATTTTCCACATACTGTACGTTATTGTTTCTCCTCTATGCCCCACCTTTCTGAAACGCGTCGATTTTTACAAAGCTCATCGGTCTGAAAAGCGAGGTGTGCTGATTGGCCAGCTATCCAGTGCGTTGCGATTGGCCGAATACCTCAAGCGTGTGATGGAAATGTTACGCCCCTACCATACTGTGATGCCCTGTCCGGCCGGAGCGTAACATAAAACCGTGTCTGCATTTGTGATCGGAGAAATCCAACAACAATTGCTACTCTACACTGCCCAAAAAACTCGCATTTGAATCATCAGTGGCAAATTCTTTAAATATAAAAAAACGTACTTACAGTCTGTGAGTCAGAACAGCCGGCATTGTAGTCTACTCTACCAGAATCAGGAAACAGTCCTCCATAAAAGTGTTGTAAATACCACTGATTTGTAGTCGTGTCCTCTTTTGGAAGACCAAACAAATTAGTTTCGCTTTCACAACGAAAAAGCGTCACACACCGCGGCCTTGAGTGAGCGGAGGCCTAGAGTATGTGGAGGCCGGCTTGAGTGAGCAGAGGCGGGCGGGCTTGAGTGAGGAACAGCCAGTGGGCTTGAGAACGGCGTGACCGGCGGATTCGACGAAGGAGCGTCCGGCGGGCTTGCGGCATACAGATCTTCTTTATGCACCAAGAGCTTATAACACTCCAAAGAGAAAGGAAAAATTTAAATCGCATCATATGACCCCTTTAAGCATTAGTGTATGCACACTACCATTCAAACATTTGGAGATTTTTTTTTAATGTTTTTAGAGAAGTTTTTTATGCTCACCAACACTGCATTTATTTCATAAATCCTTCAGTGTCACATGATCCTTCAAAAATCATTCTAATATGCTGATTTGGTGCACAGAAAATAAACATTTCTTATTTTTTACCAATGCTGAAAATATTTCTTCAGGATTTTCTGATGAATGAAAAGTTCAAAATAACAGCATACATTTGAAACAGAAATCTTCTGTAGCATGAAAATTGTCTTTAGTGCAACTTTTGATCAATTTATTGTTTCCTTGTTGAGTAGTATTAATTCCTTATTAATTTCTTTAAAAAAAAAAAAAAAAAAAAAAAAACTTACTGACCCCCAAAACTTTTGAACACTATTGTATATTTGTAAGTGTCCTTAATCCACTTATTAGTACTATCAGTACTAAGTACTAAGTATTAGTACTTATTAGTACTATACTTTCTATACTTGTTTCCCTCTTGAAATATCTTTAACGCTGAGCAATGGTTTAAAACAGTGGTGTTGCTTCAGGAGATTCACAGATTTTACATTTATCATCAATAGGCAACAAATAAACATAAAACTAAAAGCAAATATGTGACCCTGGACCACAAAACCAGTCTCAAGTCGCTGGGGTATATTTGTAGCAATAGCCAAAAATACATTGTATGGGTCAAAATTATTGATTTTTCTTTTATGCCAAAAATCATTAGGATATTAAATAAAGATCATGTTCCATGAAGATATTTAGTAAATTTCCTACCGCAAATATATCAAAACTCAATTTTTGATTAGTAATATGTATTGCTAAGAACTTCATTTGGACAATTTTAAAGGCAATTTTCTCAATATTTTGATTTTTTTGCACCCTCAGATTCCAGATTTTCAAATAGTTGTATCTCAGCCAAATATTGTCCTATACTAACAAAGGTTTTGTGGTCCAGGGTCACATATACTAATTGAAATAATGATTTTAATTAAAATATTTGAATAAATGTTCAAATGTATTGAAATGTGTATATTTGTTCAATTTGTTGACTTGTCTATCTACGTGTTTGTTTGTTTTTAAACTGTATGCACACCCTTTGACATTAATAACAAAAGATATGGTATATTCTTGTCCCTTCTGAAAGCTGACAGGATCTTAAAACCCTCTGAATATTAGGTGGGAAATGTGTCAATTAGGTGTCAACTGTTTTTTTCACAGGTCTAATGTCCACAGCCCTATCAGAAGCAAACTGCCAGTTGAGAAGCACTGATTTATAATGCACAGATATGGTGAGAAATTAAATTCAATGGTAAAACATTTGAGACAATGAGAAAGAGCCACCTGTAGTTCAGACTCGGTTTCATTCGGCACCTGCTCAATATCCTGAGAGCACACCTGCTGTCCATTTACATCAGTTTTTGAGGACTGGATCTCAGTAAGAGGTTCCTGACCAGCATTCAGTTTCTCCACAGGCTGGAGAGCAACGCTGGTTTTCTGCTCCCTAAAGCACGTAGAAAAACACATATTCAAAACTCGTAACATTTATCAAGAGATGTTCAGAATGATAATGTGGATGCTATACCCAACTGCTATGATTAAAGTGAATAGCAATGTTATCCTTAAAAGGACAGCCCACTCAAAAATTAAAAGGATAGTTCACCCAAAAATGAAAATTCTGGGTTTATGGGTTTGGAACGACATGAGGGTGAGTAATTAATGACAGAGTTTTCATTTTTGGGCGAACTATCCCTTTAAAATTATGTCAGCATTTACTCATCCTCATGTTGTTCAAAACCTGTGTGACTTCCTTTCTTCTGTGGAACACAAAAAAAAGATATTCTGAAGAATGTTGGTAACCAAATGGTTTCAGGTCCTATTGACTTCCATTGAATGTACAAAAAAATCCAACATCATCAACATTCTTCAAAATATCTTCTATTATCTTCCATAGAAGAAAGAAATGCAAACAGGCTAGGAACAACAACAGGGTGAGTAAATGATGATAGAATTTTCATATTTGGGTCGACTATCCGTTTAAGCACTTGCACAATGAGAGGTTAATATTGGTTAATATTCTAATATTGTCTCAAAACGTACTTAATAATTTGAGGCTTCTGGTCTGAGAATATCGGTCGCAATTTGGGCATGCATCCCAATGAAGAGCCAAGTGTGTCCAACTCCCCCGGGGCGTTTCTGCTGGGCCACAGTCCTGTGCACTCCTGCAGGCTTACTGTGGGAAAGGAGTTCTCCCTGTTGCCTGGGAGACTGACTTTGGCGAACTTAAATTTCAATAGCTCCTCACCAATGTCAAGATTCCCCTGGAAGGCTTCAACCAGGATGGTTCCATCAAAGCAAACTGACTTTTTATGGACACGCAACTTTTTTCCATGAATCATATTCTGAAGGAAGGACTTCCCCTAGTGACAACACAGTTGTATAAGAGTCAAAGCAAAAGCAAAAACAAATATCAGATGCATTTATAATCACATTCATAGGTGAACAGTCCATTCTTCAAAAACAGTTTTGTCAAATACCTGTGAAAAAAGTGGGGAATCCTGCTCGCTTGACACATGAAAGCCCCAGAACTTGTACTTTTTTGCAAGTCCTGTTGTCTGCAGTTCTTCTGGGAGTTCGACTAAATCAGACCGACTGACAATCTCTGTATTTCCATAGTCAATGTACAAAATAGAGAACTGAGAAAAAAAAGAACAAATCAAAATTTGTCCACTATAATAAAAAAAAATGACACATCAAGAAATGAAAACCACAGTCATGCATCATTCTATATATACTGTTTAATTCTTCTTTGGGCGGGCTGCTATACTAAAATTACTCAATCAGCAAATAGTCCTATTCACTATTTTGAAAACACCGTTATCAGATGCTTTTGGTCTCCGAATAAATTGACATGTGTGACAGCCACTGAACAGGGTTTTTCTTTTTCTTTTCTGTGATGCTGCATTTACATCTATTTCTGAATAAAGTCCAGGGCCACTGTCAGATCCAGTAAAACAAATCATTTTGACCCACTTCTGATTATAAAGTGCAACTTTTTTAGCAGCCTTGGTTCTGGAAGTATTTTTCCCATTCATTTTTTCCAATAGGAATTTTAAAAAGCCAAACTATCTAGCTACGAGGTGAATCCCAACATTACAAACTTTTATTTGAATCAAACAAATAGACAAAGGTACAAGACTGCGAATGAAATAACTGAATTAAAAATGATGGAGAAAGTTGAGGCTGAGGCTCAGTGTTGCCAATTTGGGGAGTTTGTCGCCAAATTTAGCTACTTTCTCATTGTAGCTCAATAAGGGAAGCCGTCTTTTATTGCAAAATAGAGAAAAAACATTTTCAATTTAAGTAAGCTTCTTAACCTTGTGGTCTATCTTATTCGTAAAACACACAAAATGACCAATAAAAAAAAAAGTGTCAAGCACCAAAAGCAGCCCATATATATATATATATGCGATTGTCCCATAAAGCAAAGGGGAAAACATTTAATCGTATTCCTAAGGATCCCGATAGACGACTAATGGTTCACTGCAATAAAACATGCTAACCAACACAAAATTTGGGATTAAACGGGTAAGATTTCATGACATTTATGATGTCTACTGTACTCACAGTGATATAGCTATGCTGGCTTCCTACAAGGAGAGCTAGGGTCGATTACGTTAGCTAACAACACATTTGACTTGACGTTACCCTTCCAGTGACGACATAGCAGGTTGAATATTCATTAAAAAATAATTAGATTGCGTCCATTTGTACCCCTCCAGGCTTTTAAAGAGTCTCCGGAGTAACGTCAGGGGAGGCAAAGTTGATTAGGTACGTTAGTTGTAGATATAGGATACTGTAGGTCAGGAAATCTATCCGTTCCTTTATTGATAGGCTACACGTTAAAAGCACCACGGGGGCATTATAGGGATCTGTTATGCTTCATCTATTAAGTTTTGCTATGTATAGGTCTATGTCTTGTATTAAAGTACGCAGTGAACTCTGTTGCCTTGAAACTCATGCTGGCACCATTCATTTCATATTCGCTCCCGGCTGTCCCTGCTTGCCAGCATGGTGTAAACAGAATGCGTCACGTGACGTCCGGAGCTGAACCGGAAGTATCACCCATAGGCTTACTTCCGCGTTGAAGAAAAGGGTGGATAGAAAATATCAATCGGCTATTTTTTGTCTTTTGGAAGCTGCATTCAAAATCCACTTGGCTCAAAAATCTGAGGGGACACGAATGGGCATGACGCCTCTTGCTGCTATTATCATCTCGTTGCAGGCCAAACTGACTGTTAAAACAACATTGCCCACAAACCTTAGCGCAAAGCAGGAACATGCTGGGGGGTGGGGTAGGTGTACAGTACAGCTCAGTAGCCTAGGTGGCGACAGTGTTCCTAAAAAGTTGGTCACCATTGAAGAAGAAGAAGAACATTGTTCGCGGCTTCGCGCCAATGTTGTTTCACGACTCGTTATGGCTGACTCCAGTGCTTTGATATGCGAAGAAAATCAACATGAGAACGTGCCTGTTTATGAGTTTATGGATGTGAACTCTAAGGAGTTTCATATTGGCGCATTTAGAGATTTGTGGCTGGATGTGTTGAATCCGAAGGTGTATTCATACAGTGACACAGCTCCAGAGATAGAGGACGTGGAGTTCATTGAAGAGATGGGCATTGAGTCAAAGACACTGGAGGAACTCAAAAGCATCTGCAGGTATAACAGAGAGATTCGTTTTTTATTTCTGTATTACTTATTTTATGACATACTGTCTTTTCAGTGTTGATTCTCTGAGAAGTGGACATGAAGGCACAGACAATGTACCATCAGATCTTCATTTATCCACTCTAAAGTAGGTTAAAGCCTCTCCTCCCAGCACTGAATACGATTTTATTTGATTAAACTTGTTGGAAATTTGTGATGTAGAAATATCTAATGGCATATGTACAAATATGCTGCTTTTTCAGATTACGCAAGAGAAGACAAGATTATAAAGAAACTCTCACCAGATACACTGTTGACAGACATGAAGTCTATGCCAATGAAATGGTATGTTAATTGTGAGTAATCCACACACATCATCTAAATATGACATTTACACTCTCAATCCCTTTTTATGCAGGAGATGACATCTGTGGGTAAGAAGCCTGATGACCTCAGAGACCTGATTCCTGAGGGAGAAATCATACTGACCTTTAATATTATGTATCCCATTCTGTTTCGGCGGGTATGTCCTGCACTTCATTTCATATAGCAGTGGTCTCTGTAAGTTTCTCTATTGACTGAATGTTTATTTTAATTGTGCCAGTTTAAGTTTGTGAGGGCATATCAGACTCTGCATGTGCTGGGCTCTCAAAAGCTTAGTGATCTTAGAGATGCCATCTGCTGCGTCAGTGACCTGCAGGTGTTTGGAGAGTTCAGCAACACTCCGGATATGGTACCACAGTTCATCAGCAAGGTGCATACACAGGATGGCATAAAAACACTCCATATAAATTGCATTGGAGCAGGGCTAAACTGACATTGGCAAAGATATCAAACATACAGCTGAAAAGTTAATTTTTATTTTTCTTAGGATCATTACAAGTCTGCTTTCTTTTTCTTCAATGGAACATTCTTCAATGACACACGGTTCCCGGAATGTCAAGACATCAGCATGTAAGATCTAATATGTAGTTTAATACTAAATGAAATACTAATGTTTAAAGGGGACATCGATGCCCATTTTCCACAAGTTGGTATGATTCTTTAGGGTCTTCATGAAATGGCTGCAACATACTTTGGTTAAAATTCCTCAGTGGTCGTGTAAAACAACACCCTTTTTACCTTGTCAAAAACAGCTCTGTTCACAGCGACTCGTTTCGGTGCATGTCTCTTTAAATGCTTAATGAGCTCTGCTCACCCCGCCCCTCTGTTCTGTGGAAGAGGTGATTTTCAAGTAATCATAAGAAATCTAAAGTGTGGGATTAACTTCTTCTGGAGGTGCAGCTGGATCATGTACAATGGGTACTGATCCATCCTTGAGTTCTAACTTTTTAGCAAAACCTGCCTTGAATTGTCCCTTGTTCAGAAAGCAGTCTGGAGTAAAATGATTCGCGCAGACATAAATGTATTTAGGTAGATCGGGGGGCGCATTCCCTTCAAAAACCTTCAAGTAATCCACTGCGCAACAACAAAACACCTCAACCGCTTAGGAGCCATTCTTGTCTACATCTGCTGCGGCGTCGAAACAATGGCGAACTGTTTACAGCTCACTCATGGCAGGTCTATGCTAAAACACCAGTGTCCATCAACAGTCGTGGGAGGGGCCTGTGCAAAGTGATGTCACTTTGCCAAGAATCTGTGAACGGTTGTTCTGAGAAAGTGCTTATGATTTGTGGGCATTTAAAAACAAGTACTGGCTGGATTTTCATCATTATAGGGTGGTTGTGTACACACTGCCAACATGCATTTAAGTTCAAACACTGTGTAAAAGTGAATTTTGCATCCGATGTCCCCTTTAATTCTGTACAATTTTGATACCAGTAATATAATGCAATATGGCACCTTTCAGAATTTTTTATGTTATTGCAAGGCTTGCAAGCCAAGTTACAAAAGACAGCAGATGAAAACTGCAGATATGAAAGACAAATCTTGCTAAATACAGAAACTCATGAGAAGCATTTGAAAGCTGATTTGAACATGACTTATTCTGAATCTGTCACATTGTACTCCAAACCAAATATCACAGGACTTGTCCTTTTTCATAGCATCACATTTGTACACTCACTACAATCAATACAATTACATTACAATTATCACTTGAATACAGTCAATAACTGTTGGAGCCTTATGCTGTATTTTTTTCCACATTAATCTACACTCCATCACTTCCATCAGTACAATGATAAAAACAAAAACAGATTTGTTAAAACTAAAAAAACTAAAATATCGCATGATGTGCATATCCAGAACCTTTGTTATGACACTTAACTTGGTTGCATCCCATTACTCTGGATCACCTTTGAAAATGTTTTTACACTTTGAAGTCCACCTTTGATAAATGAAATCATCTTGACATGTCTATATATGGTCTAACAGCTAAAGATGCATATCAAAGCGAAAACCAAGCCACAAGGTCAGAGGAACTGCCTGCAGATTTCAGAGACAGAATTGTGTTAAGGCACAGATTTGAGGAAGTATTCAAAAAATCTGATGCATTCAGGGATTCCAAGTCAGATTGCTTGTCACATCATACCCAAAAAGACTTTTAAGGCAATATAAACTGCCATAGATTTTAGGTTCTTCAACTATGTACTGAATTAAATGTCTAAATACTTATGCCAATGCAATGTTTCAGCTTTCTGTTTTTAATGTTATTAATCAAATCTTTTTTTTTTTTTTTTTTTGCTTTGTCATTATAAGGTTTGAAGTTTAGATTGATTTGAAAAATAAAAAAAGCATTTTAGCACAAGGTTCAAATGTAAAAAAAAAAAAATATGTTTTAAAATTTGGTCTATTCATCACAAGGCGATTGTATGGCTTTAGAATACTTGGGGGTGTTATTGCCCAGTAAACACAGTTGTTTTCGCTATCTCTTTGACAATAATTTAAATGGAGAAAAAAAAACAGTTAGTTGTGGATTTACAGACTTTGTGTATTTGCTAATTTATCAAATTTTTGTATTTGCTGAAGGACAACACAGGAGTG